CTGCCCTCACCACCAACTCAGAGAAGCCAGGTCCCCCAGGCGACTCCGAGCTCCTGTGCTTCCCTCCCCTGGGGCAGGACACCCCCATCGCTGGGGGAGGAGCACACGGCTTTCTCATGGCACCCCTGGCTCCTGCTTTCTCCTCGCACCCCTCCTCACGCCCCTCCTGGGGCACCCCAACATGCCCTTCCACTTCCAGCAGGGCTCCGGAGGGTCCAGCTCAGCCCTGGCTTCTGTCAAATGCCACCCACCCCAAAGGCCACCAGAGCTGGTGCAGAGGACAAAGGGGGTCAGGAGAGGAGGCAGAATTTGCCAGATTTCCTCCCAGCCTCCGAAAGGCCTCCGGAGAGGTGGTTATATAAGGTTTCTTTTTTTAAAGTGCGGAAAGGAAATTTTTTGCAAATACTAAGACGTGCCACACGGGCAAATAATGGGGTGCACTCCCTGCCCAGGGCGGGTCCTGAGCCTAAGAACCCCGGCTCCCTACGTGGGCAGGGGCTGGACCACTTCGTCACTGCCGGGTGCCCAGCTGAAGCTCGGAGGCAGGCAGGAGGAGGCGCTCAGCAAATATCTGCGGATTTAGCAAAAGGAACCAGGAAGAGGAGCTGAAAGGAGGGGAAATGGGCCAGGACTGGGGGTGGCAGGAGGGAGCATGAGAGAGAGGATGGGAGGGGGGTCTCGCAGGGAGGGGGCTCAGTGGGAGGGGGCTCTGAAATCAGGAAAAGTGCTGAGTAAAAACAGTCTGTGAAAAGGCCCCAGATTATTCATCTGAGTCCTCTTCTTGTTGCGTTTCAGTTCGAGCGGCTGCAAATATTTGAAATGAGTAATTTCTCCCGATGAAGAAGGTCTGATTTTGACTCTGCCTAATTTATGTCGAGATTCAAGGGAGCACCCGGAGGGAGGAGAGGGGCTGAGTCTGCCGGCAGCAGCTCCCGGCCACCCTCGCTCCCAAGCTGCCTCCTGGTCCTGCCCAGCTCTGCCCCAAAGCTGGGGTTCTGGGGACAGGAGGACGGGCAGGTGCCCCCAGACCAGGGGACAGGTCCGGACCACCAGGGAGCCCCCAGGCCCAGGCAGTAGAGGGGCCCCGATCAGGGGACAGAGTCACAGCCGGTGGCACTAAGCCAGTACTAGCTCCTGGGCCTGCAGCCTCCCCCGGCCTCCAAGTCTCCGCTCTGCCTCCCTTGCCAGCCCTGGGCCCCTGGTTTGCCTCCCAGCCCGGCCTCCTCCAGGGCCTCCCCTGGCCTCCCCTGTGCTCCATGGTGTCCCTGCCTTGGCACCTTCTTACCACCCAGCCGGGTACAGGCACCGGGCAGTTCCCTGTGTCTCCTATAAGGCTTGAGCCCTATGGCACCTCCTCTGTGAAACCTTCCCCGTCCCCATGAGAAATGGGAGGCAGCTGGGCCTCCCCCCGCCTCCCAAGCCCCGTTCCCGGTGCAGCCACTGTCTGAGGCAGCCCTGCTCCTGAGCCTGGCACATGTGGCGTGCTAGAGAGATGGCTGGGGCAAGAAGTCACCATACATACCCGTTCAGATACTGCTGTCCAGGGGGGTGGGGTTGGTGGCTCAGGGAGGAGGGCACCCAGCCCTGAGGGGCAGTGCCAGGCTCAGAACTGCACCCTGGCCTGCGGAGACCAGCCGGTGCCTGCCGCCCACCCTCCCAGCGAGGTCTGGGCTGAGCCGGACCCCAGAAGGGAAAGATTGGAGCTGGGTCAGTGGGTAGGGTCCAGGATGCCTACAGGGCATAGGGTGGAGTGAAGGGTAAGCCCTGGGTTAAAATGCAGTTCCCAGGCCCCACCCCAGAGGCTCTGGTTCTGTCCGTCTGGGCCTGGGCCCAGGAATCTGCCTCTGACCTGCAGTCCAGGTGACTGGCCCAGCAGGTCGGGCAGGGGGTCACCGCCCGATACTGGAGGGGACAGCTCCAGCTCTGGGGCCTGGCAGACACGGGGATGAAGGCAGTCCCACCCCCACTCCTTCCACGCCTGGAGGACTTCGACCGTCTTTCTGCTGGTGCCTGGCACCGCCCTCAGGAGAGGCCATTGGGTGCCCTGGTTGGACTTCCTGAACTTCCGGCCCTCCTCGGCTGCCCACTGCTGTGTGGCCTTCCGCAGGCTAACTAACCTCTCTGTACCAAAGGTCCTGCGTCCGCACAGGAAGTGATGACCGCAGCTGCCTCCCAGCAATGTTCACGAAACCCTCACGCACTGGAGATCTGGGCGTGAGTTCTTGGCCTCCCAGTGGGCTCCCTGCCCCAGCCGCCCACTCCCACAGCACCGGGGACCCTCTTAAACACTATGTCCCATTGGGCCACACCCCAACTGATGACCAACAACTGCCGCCTGGCCAGTCAGCCCCCTGTCTCACCGTGGCTCCCTGGCCCCTGTCCGTGCCCTGGGCTCTGATCAAGCCTGGTCCCTGGCTGGCTGCCCTGGTGTGGCTCCTTCTCATTCCAAATGCTGGGACCCACTGTGTGCTGACTCTTCATCTGAAGAGAATATTTACATTTGCTTACATCTGCCTAACGAAACTCTGAGAGACCCTCCAAAACTCACAACAGAGAGTGTGGCGGCAGGGAGCCCGGCAGATGGGAACAGAGGCCAGGCCAGGGCGCCCTTCCCCTCCCGGCTCCCCCCCTACCCCAGTTGGGAACCAAGTGGACGCTCCATATTCACAAAAAAAGTGTATAAAGAAACGGGTGGGAGACTTCCGCCAAGATGGAGGCATAGGTGGATGTGCCGTGCCTTCTCACACAACCAAGTTTAGGGACAACTAAATACTAGCAACAGAAAACACAGCCAGAACACGGAAAATTGAACTTTTCGGAAGTCCGTTAACAACAAATTCTTCAGCCTGACCGGTAAGGGGCGAAACCAGCAGCTGGTGAAGCGGGATTGCACAGGAAAACTCGGTCAGACGGACTCAGGCGCGGAATCCAGACGCGGAATCCAGGCCCAGGGTTGGACCTAGTGAGCGACCGCAGGGGAGACAGCGGGGGAGCAGTGCTGCGTGTTGACTGTCGTCGCGCATTTGTGCACGAGCGGACAGGCGAGGGAGTGGGCGGTTGGACCTGGCCCGGCGGGTCCCCGCGGCAAGCGGCAGTGGAGGGCGCCGCCATTTCCCCGCTCTGACCCCGCCCCCACATACAGCGTCACAACCCAGCGACCTGGGAGTCTAAGGCACCGCTTCTCATACTTGAAGGGCGCGAACAGACCAAAAATGTCGCAAGATCTGAAAGTCCCACAGCCCATAGATCTAAGCGATGAAGAAATAGCAAAACTCTCAGATGCACAGTTTAAAACACTGGTCATCAGGATCCTCACAGAACTGGTTGATTATACCGACAAATTAGACAAATATATGAAGGCAAAACTAATTGAAATTAATGGAATTGCACAGGACACCAATAGCAATGAAAAGGAAACTGGGACTCAAATCAATGGAGTGGACCAGAAGAAAGCAAATAATGGCCAAACAGAAAAGAGTCAAGAAGCAAGAATTCAAAGAAATGAGGAGAGTCTTAGGAACCTCCAGGACATCTTTAAACGCTCCAACATCTGAATTATATGGGGTACCAGAAGGGGGAAAGGCACAGCCACCAGTGGAAAACTTATTTGAACAAATAATAAAGGAGAATTTCCCCAATCTGGCAAAGGAAATAGACTTCCAGGAAATCCAGGAAGCTCAGAGAGTCCCAAAGAAGTTGGACCCAAGAAGGAACACACCAAGGCACATCATCATTACATTAGCCAAGATTCAAATGAAGGAGAGAATCCTAGAAGCAGCAAGAGCTAAGGGTCAGTCACCTACAAAGGAGTCCCCATCAGACTGTCAGCAGATTTCTCAAAAGAGACCTTACAGGCAAGAAGGGGCTGGAAAGAGGTATTCCAAGTCATGAAATCCAAAGACCTACAACCAAGATTGCTCTATCCAGCAAAACTTTCATTTAGAATGGAAGGACAGATAAAGTGCTTCTCAGGTAAGATCAAATTCAAGGAGTTCATCATCACCAAGCCCATATTATGTGAAATGTTAAAGGGACTTATCTAAGAAAAAGAAGTTAAAGAAACATGAACAGTGAAAGGACAGCAAACTCACAGTTATTAACAACCACACCTAAAACGAAAGCAAACTAAAAGGACAGCTAGATCAGCAGTGGAAACATAGAAAGGAAGATCGCAAGGAGGGTTAGCAACAGGGGAGTGGGAGGAGGAGAAGGGGGGAGAAGGTACAGAAAATAAGTAGCATAGACAGTAGATAGAAAATAGATGGGGGGGCAAGAATAGCATGGGAAATATAGAATCTAAAGGACTTGAGACACATGGTCATAAACTAAAGGGAGGGTAATGGTGGGGATGGGGGGGTAGGGTGGAGGGGAATGAAGGGGGGAACAGAACAAATGTAACAGCATAATCAATAAAAAAAATTAAAAAAAAAAAAAGAAACGGGTGGGTGCGTTTTTCTAAATCTCCACCTTCCTGGAAAGGTTCTGCCTGGGCATCCGCACTACAGCGACCCCTCGCCACCCTTCTTCACCCCGAGCCTGCTTCACTTCCGCCCCTAGCCCCGTCACTAACTGCCATCACTCCCAGAGCACGTCTGATGGCTCACTGTGTGTTCCTCCTGTTGGAACATCACCTCGTGAGCACGGGGCCCTGTCCTGTCTCAGCGCCACGTCAGAGGTGCTTAATAGATCCCCGGGGAAGAGTGAAAATAGTCACAGCTACTCCCACCTGTCCATCTGTGAGCACCTCCCCATACTGCCCAGGGCTTATAGAGGTTGCATCTGGGATTAAACCTGGCATACCATAGGTGCTCAATAAATGTTTAAGTGAATAAAGCAATGGTCTAAAAAGGTCTTAAAAAAACCTTTAAAGAGATGAACTTATACCTTCCAGAAGGACAAGCAAAGCTTTTCAAGATGAAAACAGCCAGAAGATCTGCTAGTATAGAGTAGCTGCTCAATACATAGTAGCTCTAATTATTACTAAAGTGTAAAGGACTTACCTGGACCTCTTTCTGTGAGCGGAGGAAGAAGTGAGGCCAGGAGAGCTCTGAGAAGAGAGGGGGAAACAATTTCAGAGACACAAAAGTCTTCTTTGGAGTGTTTCTCCAATAATTGCATGATTTCCTTTTTCTTTTCAGAAAGCCTCTGTCCACAGGGGTCTCTGCTTGTCTGCGCTCCCTGCAATAAGTTCCTCCAGACAGTGTGAGGGCCAGGAGCCCCCATCAGACCAGTGGTCAGAAAGCTCACAGCCCCCCAGGGTCCACCAGGGCCACATCTAGGTACTGGGGTGCGGGGAGAGCAGGGAGTGACAACCTCTCACCCCTACCCACCCCAGGGCTCCCCTAGGCCCGAGCCCAGCAGCCCTGAGAGGTCATAACACCCAACGGAAAGGACGTAGCCTCTGGAACCCGACGGCCCCGGATCCCACCCTCCCGGCACAGCCTCTGTCCCAGTCACCTTCACCTGCCTGGTCTTATTTCATCCCCACCACGTCTCAGGGAAGCAGTTGTCTTATCGCCCCATTGCACAGCTGGGGAGGTTGAGGCTGGAGAATGACTTGCTCAGGATAACACTGCAAGAGTGTCCCCAGCCAGAGTCACGCCCAGCCTGTCTGTGCGCCTTGGCTTCTCTATCTATAAAGTGCGGAGAACCGAGGCTCCTATTCAAGTTTATTGGGAACAGTTAATTCCTTAAAAAGTGTCTCACAAGGAAAACAAAGTGTCTCGATGGTCTGACCCCTGAAGGGCTCGTCAAATGTTCCCTGTCCCTCTCTGGGGAAGCCAGGTGTCACACCCTCCCTGGGGTGACAGCCTTGGACAGGTCCTCCCTCCACGTCCGGGCGCGTGAGATGAGGTTTGGGGGTGGCACAGAGGGGTCACAGCGCTCCGCGAGCCGGGCACAGGGCGGGGCTGGGGGCGGGACCGCAGCAGAGGCCGCCCGCCACCAGCCGCAGCCCCGCCCCTGTCGCCACAGCGACCCAGCGCCTGCGGCCTCCAGGGGGCCCGAGGAGCCTGCCAAGGACGGGTGGGCCAAGAGGGGAACGCAGCCCCCGCCCCTCTTTTGTTTCTTTCTCGTGGTGTTGGTTTGGGGTTTTAGTTGTTTTTTTTTAATCCAGCCACTCTGTGGTCCCATCCGGGGCCTCCTGCCTCCTCCCACCTCCTCGCTGGTGGCTGTCACACGACAGACATTTTTAGTGGTGACAGCTGGCCTTGTGGAACTCGCTCGAGTACGGGAATGGTTTTTAAAAAAAGAGTGAGCCGAACCAGCGCCACTTTAAATAGCAATGCAGCGCGAGGGGAGGCAGCGGAGCCGCGCAGGCAGGAGCGCGTGGGGCTGGGTGTCTGCGCTTCGTCCGAACCGACGCGAGAAGGTCCGCCGAGCCGGAGGCTCGTGGGTCCCAGCCCTGCCTTTGACTGAGGGTGCAACTGAGGTCCAGATGTCACGCCCAAGATCACATGGTTGTGAGTGGCAGGCCTGGGACTCCGAGCCAGGTGCCTGCGGGTCGGGCACTGGGCTCCTCACGTGACGAGGCCCAGCCTCCCACACCGCCTGCCCTTTCCTGACCTTGGAGAGAGCCCGCAGGGGGGGGCGTCCTGAGGACCCTTGTGAGACCAGCGTCTCCAAGGCCTGGAATGAGCCGCCCCCAAGTCTTCGCAGGAACTCAGAGACCATTTGCAAAGGAGTGACGGGTCAGGGCTCCCAGGGGTCCTCCCATGTCCCCAGGACCCTCGGAGCTGGAGCCTGTTCAACTCCCGTTGGTCCCAGTCAACACCAGGTCCTGTCGCTTTTGTCCCCACAACATTTCCTTCCTTAGAAACCCTCCATTGTGGAAGTACAGACCGCTGTCCCTTCTCACCCCAGATGTCCCCAGCCTGGACCTCTGCCCCTGTGCTTCCGTCATCCCTATGGGGCAGCCGATGCCCAGAACAGAGCCCCACACCCTGAGCAGGGACAGAGCGAGGACGCTCCCCTCCTCATTCCAAGACTCCGTTTCTCCGAGTGTGACCCAAGAGTGGCTCCCCAAGGCTCCCAGCCCCCCCACCCTGTGATGCCCCTCCACGCGTCCTCTTCTCCATGACACTTCCCTTCAGGGCCACGGTGGTGGGTTTAATGCCTGTGTCACCCCTCGCCCCGGAGCCTGGCCCCCACGAGGACAGAGTTGGCTGCGACAGTGAGTCTAGCCCTGCGCCTGTCCCATCCTGAGCGCTTGACAAACAGCCATGGAGGCATGAGCAACGTCTCGGCACACAGTCCACAGCAACCTGGAAACTGTGGGAGAATGAAAAGGCCGAGAAGGGCAACATGAGACAGAAGAGGAAGACGAGAGGGCGGAGCAGAGGGAACCTTTGCACCCTCGGAACCTCAGTTTCAACAGGGACCTCCATCCTCCCTCCTCTGCCGGGAACCTCCTGGGCTTCTCCTTTGAGTTTCACAACATCCGGGGAGGGCAGACCTTTGACCATCTCCCTGACCTCACTTCACAGAGGGCACCGGGGCTCAGAAAGGGGAGTACACCTGCCCAAGGGCACACAGCACTCAGTGTGGAACCCTGAATTCCAACCAGGTCTGACCCCAGAGCCTGACTGTCACTATGGACAATCAATTGATCATCCCCAGCTCTGTCCAGGAGACTCATCCTGCACTGGGGCAGAGAGAGAGAATCTTAGTCTCCACGAGGAAGACTCTGAGACCAAACAGGCTGGTGTTCGAAGCCGGGAGCTTCCCATCGCCAGAGACATTCAGGCAGAGGACGCGCACCCCAGAGAGGGACAGAATACGGTTCCTGCACCCAGTAAGGAGGCCTTGAGGGTCTCAGTACCGAGACATTTCATTCCTGCGCTCCACGCCCTAGGTTGTGAGCTGTGAGTCAGGCTCTCTGAAAGCGACATTATTGCTCAGTGTTTCAAGGCTTAGAGAAAAAAAAAACCTAACGAGTTCAACAACCATATCAGTACGCCATGGGATACACTGAGAAACACTCTTAGTTTTACATGAGAAAAGCTTAGGCTAATAATATCAACTATTTCATGGAGTTATTACATGCCAGACTCCAACATAAATATTTTAATATATGAAATACATTTTCAGCCCTGGCTGGTGTAGCTCAGTGGATTGAGCATGGGCCTGTGAGCCAAAGAGTCACCAGCTCGATTCCCAGTCAGGGCACATGCCTGGGTTGCAGGCCAGTTCCCAGCAGGGGATGCACTAGAGGCAACTATACATTGATGTTTCTCTCCCCCTCTCCCTCCCCTCTAAAGATAAATAAAACAATAATAGGGCTACCTATTTATATTACTAGATCCATACTTTATGTTAATAAAGCTACATATATGTACATTATATATTTATAGCACACTTACAAACATAAATATATAAATGTACGTCGAGAGCATTGGAAATCTGATTGCCCCACACATGTGTTTTACATGTAGAACTGCATGTGAATACACACATGCACACATTTGCACTCACGAGGAACATGAGGACATGGATTCGGTTGTCGGGTGCGTCATAGCTCTGTGTCACGTTCTAAAAGGCCCATATGTTTCAGAGCTGCAGACTGACAGGTTTCCAGGTGAAACACTATGACATATGGGATTTGCTTCAAAGCCCGTCGAGAGGGGCCAGGGATGCAGGTTAGTGGGACCGACCCTGAGTGGCCCTTAGCACAGCGGGGCGCCGGGCCCGTGGGACCGGTCACTCTGTTCCCTCCCTGTTTGCTAAATATCTGAACATTCCCCTCATGAGAAGTTAAAACTCAATGACTCCCATAATAATAAAAAAAACTTTTTCCCCAATTTTTAATTTGGCAAAAGACACAGGACACGAAATCTACCATCTTGGCCATTCCTGAGCGCACCAGGCGGCATCGGGCGCCTTCCCGCGGCCGTGCGACCCCACCGGCCTCCACGCAGGGGCTCTCGTCATCTCGCAGAACCGAGACTCTGTCCCCACTAGACACGACTCCCGGTTCTCCCTCCCCCAGCCCCGGGCAGCCACCCTCCTCCTGTCTGTCTCTATGGGTCCGACCACGTCAGGGACGTTACCTGGGTGGACTCATCTAGTGCGTATCCTTCGTGTCTGGTTTATTTTATCGAGTGTGACGTTCTCAAAGTCCATCCGACATGTTGTCGCATGTGTCAGAATCCCCTTCCTCTTTAACACTGAGTAATGTTCCATCGCGTGGCTGGACCAAACTGCGCTCACCCTTCGTCCGCCAATGGTCGGTCGCTTCCACGTTCTGATGATTGTGATGATGCTGCCGTCACCATGGGTCTCCGCACACATCCGGGTATTTTTTTTTAATTTCTCTAACATAATTATGGGGGCCATCCTTTCCAAATCACAAGTGGGAATTGGTAGCCCCACATCCCAGCAACATTCAAAGGGAAGTACGTTCGTGCCTGCTAAATGCCAGGCATCACGCTAGCACTTTGGATGCCTCAGTGAGCACAGCAGACATGCCCTTGGCCTAGCAGGCTGCCTGTCCGGGGGCCTGGGCCGACAGAGGGCCTCGGGGGAGAGGGACAGGGCACCGGGGTCCGGCCTGCGCTCTCGGGAGCTCCGGCAGGGTGGCAGGTGTACCAAGGTCACCGTCTTGCGCCCATCCAAGAAGCGACCCTCTGACCCCCTCCCTGTAGCCCTTTCAGCACTCGAATCAGGTGGCCTCGGCGGTCAGCCCCACCCGCCCAGCAAGACTCGGGGGTCACCTCTGCCTTAACCAGAGAATAACCTGTAGGCGAATGTGGGGGGTGGCCTGGGGTGCCCCTCCCTCTTCATTTGTCTAATTGGTGCCCAGGGAGTGAGGCTGGTTCTTGAAACAGGGACAGCTCCTCTTCAGAACCCAAGGCGGTTGGGACAGGGCATCCCACCCACTCACCCAGAGGCCCGTGAGCCGAGGCCCAAGCTGGCCACGTCCTGATTTCCGCTCTCGGAAAGTTCACAATCTGCCCTGGCTGGTGTGACTCAGTGGACTGAGCATTGGCCTGTGGACAGAAAGGTCGCCAGTTCGATTGCCCATCAGGGCATGTGCCTGGGTTGCAGGCT